CTGTTGTTTTCTCAGGGCTCCCCTCTGAATGACATGCTCTATGACAATAACACCTTTTTGTAACTGTAAGCTAAGTCCTACCTCCCAGCCTAAAATTTTTTTTTTAATTTCAAAAACAACTAAATATTATAATGTTTTATCTTGAGAAACAAATATTAACGAATGTTAACTTTAAATAGTCCTGAATGGTTTCATAAAAACGTTGAGAGTTGCCAGGCACGGGTTGAATAGCCCTTGGTAAAAAGGTGCTAGAGCCCTTAGTCATGTGCTAGAGCCGTTCCTGAAATTCACTTGGGCATTCTTGAAGCCTTCAGCACAGACCCAAAGGGTATCATTTAGCAAGCCACTACAAGAGTTATGGCTTCTGAAGACATAATTTAAACAAGGATTAGTTTGGGCACTGGAAGAATCATGCTCTTTAGAGTTTAGAATCTGACAAGAAGCAGCTAAGCTACTGAAAGACGAGAGTCTTGTGGGCATTTATCTGATGGTTATAAAAACAGGCAGCTAGATCAACTACAATCATCATTTGAAAACTTTCTTTTAGAGAGCAAGGCCTTCTGAAAACATTGCTTTTGGTTTCTCTACCTCCAAGTTGTCAGTACTGAAAAGGAAATTCACAAAAAAAAATGAAAGGCAGTTTCATTTAACAGCATTGTGTTTATTAGGCCAGACGCTTTCACACGCTCAGTAGCCTTTGCCAGGATGAAAGCTGTTGCTCTTCCACGCCTTAAGATTGAAGCGGGGAGCTGGGGTGGGCAAGGGGTGGCGGGGTGAGGGGTGTTAAGTCTGCCTCCCCAGCTAAACTGTCAGACGGCTGTGAGCTTCAGGCATCTCAATACTCTAATCACTTAATATAGTCGTGTTTTGGTTTCAGCTAGTGAGAAGAAATTTTGCAAGGGAACAAGGGGTACAGGGGAAAGAGGTGGAGTGGTGGGCACTGGCTTTGGCCCTGCTGTGGAATGTCAGGTCTGTCCAAGACCCAGCCTGCCCCTCCCAGGGCTGGATGCCAGTTTACTCCCGCCTGCTGCCCTCCCTAACCTCTCCCCTGGCCCCAACTCCACATTCCCTCCGGTCCCTAATCTTGATCATCAGGAAGATCCAGACACAGAATTATCTGAGAAAATTGTTCTTGCATATTCTTGTGACAAATGGCAAAGTCATCACATCGTTCTTAAACTTCTCAGTTCCTGTGCTTGCTAGGGTCCAGCTCAGGAAAATGTGATCAATACTCCTCGTGACATCTTTATTGACCAGATATGGCCTCTAAAGGCCTGAAAGAAAGGAAAAGTGGGTCCCTGCAAAATTTCTTCTCACCAGTGTTCCCCTGGTAGTAAGACAACAGATCTAGACTATGAGGAAAAATCAAACTTTTACTGCGACAATAAACCAAAAAGAAACACACAAAAGGCACTCTGCAAAACTCTTTCTTGCTAACATTATTTCAACACTAGCTTGCCTGCCAATTTTCTAAAATTCTGAAATGTAAATAAATAGAAGAGTAAGTCTGGGTCTCTTTTGCATTAAATACTTAATCACTTAGCTCATTTTTATAAATTGGTGTGAATTCAGTCTGGACTTCCTTCTTTGTTCCTTAACCATTTTTGGGAGAACAACCTAAAGTCAAGAGTAAACAAGTTGATGTTTCTTACGAGATCAAGACCAAAAAAAAAAAAAACAGCCAACAAAATACATTTCAGTGGACTTAGAATTTTGAACTTAGATCTCTATCTTATTTCAAAACAATTGTCACAAGGTGAGACTTGATTGCTATGCTTTCTAATTATTTTTTTTTTTTTTAAAGAGAGAGAGAGAGAGAATTTTTTTAATATTTATTTTTTTTTAGTTTTTTTTTCGGCAGACACAACATCGTTGTTTGTATGTGGTGCTGAGGATTGAACCCGGGCTGCACGCATGCCAGGCGAGCACGCTACCACTTGAGCCACATCCCAGCCCCGCTTTCTAATTATTTTAAAAGAATCATTTTTATTCTAATCCACTTACTGGTTTTCTACTTCATTGCCTCATTAACACTTTCTACTTTAGATATGTCTTACTATGTATATTTATTGAAGGTACAATGAGTTTACAAGCAATCTGCCTTTAAGAATGTATAATAATATGGAAAGATAGGTCCCAAAGTCACCCACCAACATGGACAACTACAAATCCCAGCATTCACAGAGTGTATCTTTCTTCAAGATCTCTCTATTGTTTGGGACAAATGTGACTTCTATTTGAAAGCCACATTTTAAATTGTGTACAATGTATTTTGTTACATGAACTAAATTAAATCGCACATTTGCCAATTATATTTCTCATCTGTAACCATTTGCAAGAATATTTAATGAATGTTTTTAAACATTTCTAAAACAACTCAGATTTTTTTCATGCCCTATAAAGTTCATGTTACCTATTTCACTAACCTGGTTGAAACTTTCATTTCTGAATATTTAGGTAATATGGTTATGTGGAGAATTACTAAAATTAATAGAATAACCTCAAACAGAGCACTGAAAAGAGAAAAATAAATTGTTTTTACTTCTAAAACCTTCCATACTCTTTAGGATATACAGGCTTAAGTCTTTAATAAAGGCCTGGCCCTTATTAAATAGAAGCTCTTAAAATTATGGATTCTCTCTAGACATAAGAGAGAAAAGGGGAAAAGCAAATTTTAAAATGAAGCTTCCGTGTAAATGATTAATTTCTCATTCATGTCAATCCCGCTTCCTTACAGGCAAAGCCCTCTCGCCCCCTCTGGAAAGCATCATCCAGAGCTATTTCTCACCATGAGATGACTAGCGAAACCTCACAGCAAAATTGAAAAAGACTTTAAAAGGAAAAAAAGCAAAAGGCACATTCTTAAGCACTTCTAATCACTGTACTTCTGCCCCAATGGGAGTCAGTCATTCCACACGCTTCTGGCCTGCAGTCCCTCCCTAAGGCGCTGAAAAAAAACCCATTTGGAAACCTGACAAGCAAAAATATCAGCCGGAAAATTCATTTCAGAGAAAAACACTGGGAAGAACAACGTGGGAAGGGGGCGGGGGATAATGGATATCTAAGTAAACCATTTTAAAAGTAGCAACCAAATGCTGAGGGAAGAAAAGAGCATCCCTCCAGGCAAACAGAGGTCCAACACAGCAAATCTGATGAGCAGGATCCCTGGGCAACAGGAGCAACCAGTGAAACTTACGAGGCCTCCAGCACCATCATACGCAAAGGTTTCCCAAGAAATTCCAGAACCCAGGGAGGGTAAAAACTTTCCCAGCCCTAGGACCCTGAGATGTACAACTGTGTCCCACCACTAGGTGGCTGGCTGCAAAGGCTGCCAGCAGGGGCTCTCCCCCCTTCTTCCCCTTTCAGGACAGCAGTCTGGCCCAGGGGAGAGCCGATCGGCCCCCACCTTGATCTGGTTCACTAAACACATCAAGCTATGGGGGGAAGAAACAAAACAAAAAGATCTTAGGCCTTAGAACTGAAGCCACCAAGTAACAGTCTCCCCTAAAAGTCTGTTCACAGCAAAGCTGAGCCAAGCGGGGAGGGGGATGGACCTGCATATTTTAAACTCTGCTCAGGGGTTTCAAAGAACTGGCTCCCTTTGGAGCTTTCAAAACAAATCTTCCGGGTGGCTGCTGGCTGCTTTAGAGCGACAAATGACCGCAAAAGTGTGACGAGAACATGGGTTTGAGTCGCTGAAACCCAGCTCACAGCGGGTTGTACATCACCTACCCGCACAGCATGTACGGAGCCACAAGGTGATGGAATGGGCTGGATAAACACAGATCGTTTTATTGCTGGCCAGAAATTCTTCCTTCATTCATCAAAGTGGGTGAATGAAAATATTAAGAAGTAGGTATGGCATTTTCATGGGCTGCACACCGAGGATCCTTCTAAAGTCAAGATCTTACTTTGTCAGCCTTCCACCTTGGGTATCAAATAAAGCCTCCTCCCAGGAAAGGAAAAAACCACTTCCCCTTTTATAAAAAAGCTGCACACCAGAGCCCGAATCTTGGCAAAAGCGATGTTACATAAATTCCAGGTATTCCTCAATATGTATGATTATACATACACAACACAATCCTTTTAGGAAGCATCTAAGTTTCTGGGCCACTTTTTTTCTTCTTTTTTCATCTCAAAGAAGAATCAAAATATGTGTTTATAGGTATGACTTAGGATATTATCCACTCCATTTAGATGACACTTCCTGATAGCTAAACGCAGGAAGTCTAATGATTTGCATCCAAAAGGCATCTAAGCACCAGTACACTTACTTACCTTTCTTAACTGAACCCAAACCAAACAGTTCAGTTTCATCTGTCTTCTAACCTCAGAAAGAAATAGTAATAACCACCTCTGAACCCCTGAATTATTCTCTGTGTGATTGACATAGCCACCCTTTGGTTATTCTATGAACTGGCTAATTTCTCAACATCTTACTTTGCCTTTAAAAGGCTTCCTTCCACACGACGGGATTTCCCTAAGAAACATTCCCAGCGGATGGTTTCCAGCAATAGTCTATATCAACAGCCTGAACAGGCAAAGACTTGGCTTCTGCTAATTCCAACGCCCCCCCCCCCCGCAAAACACACACACACACACACACACACTCTCACACTCACCAATTCACACTCAAGATCATCTCGGACCGACTCGAAAAGCTATTTTATTTGCACATTTTCGTCTGTCCCTGAAAGAATGCTTTTTCAACTGACCTTTCAACAGCTGCCGAAAGGGCACGATGTGTAGGGTGAGAGCTGGAAACCAGGGGATATTTCAGCATCCTAATCCATGCAACATTCTCTGCCCAAGTTCAAATTCTCTTGAGTTCAAGGGTAGGATCCCTGAAGGGTTGGCAGAGCAGCTCTCCGAGATGTCCTGCTCGCAACCAACTCACTGCGGGCATCCTGCACGCGCACAGCCCCAGCACTCACGCCGCCCGACACCCGCACCCTGGCCCGCGGAGAATGCGCCAGGCACGCACCAGCCCTGCCGCTTACCTTCCCGGGCTTTCAGCAAGACCGTGTTGGCCACGATGTTTTCCAGCTCCATTGACAGTCGACGGTCAGCGAGGGAACCGGCCGGCGGGGCTGTCAGCGCCTGGGGCGCTGCCGCTGCTGCTGCCGCTGCTCGGGCTGCCGCCGCGCTGCCGGAGCCGGGAGCCAGCAGCCCGCCTTGCCTACCGCATTATTCCTGCTCCGAGCCCTCGGAGTTTTCCCCCTCTGCACAGAGGAGCCGCCGCCGCCGCTTCTTCCTCCCTCTGTGTCCCCCCTCCCCCCTCCCTCAACACTCTCCCCCCCACCCCCCACCCTCCGCGTGTCTCTGTCACTCCATTCTCCTCCCCTCCGGCTCCCTCGGATGCTTTAATGCCTCGGATGCTTCAGCCTCCCCTCCGTCCCTCCCGGGGGTGTGGTACTCGCAGGCTCGGGCCGCCTCACTGCGCAGGCGTCGGCCTGGACGCGCCTCCCGCCGCAGCGCTCACGGCGCAGGGCCTGCTGGGACTTGTAGTCCTGGGTCCGCGCGGAGCGGGGCGGGTGAGCGGCTGCGGGAGCCCGAGACGCGCCCCGGGACATCGGCGGGCACGGGCAAGTCAGTCGCAGCGCCGCCGAGAAGAGCGCGGGCCGTCTTGCCCCCTACCCTCTTTGCTCAGAGCCCACAAGCCACGGCGGCGGTCGAAGCACCGCAACCTGGCAGGAGCCGTGCGGGTCCGGGCGAGCTCCGGTGAAAGACCGTCGGCCCGGCAGCGTCCCGCAACCCGCGTCCTCAGAGCACACGCGGCCCACGAGGGACTGAGCTCCGTTCTCTGGCCGGGCCACTGCCCGCAGTTGCTCACGCACACGCGCCAGCTAGCTAACAAAAGTGCACTTTGTCTCCTCGGAGGGCGGGAAGGACTCCACGAGTCGCCAGCCACCCAGCGCCCGAGTCCTTGGCCGCGCAGCCCGAGCGCCCCCAAGCGGTGGCGGGTCTGCGCGGGCCGCGCCCCCGGCGCCGGGGATTCGGGGATCCTGGCGTGGGAAGCGGCGCGCTCTGCTAATAAATCGGCTTGCGCTCGCGGGGCCCGCAGGTCAACTATCATCATTACACTCAGACTCACTGAGATTAGGTTATAAGAAGGCAGCTGGAATCGCCCGAGTCGCTGTGGGAGCGTCAGTGAGTAACAGCCAGGCCAGCTGAGCCGGCATGGAAATACGTTCAGACTCCGGACTTGTTTATCTCGGGGCTCTTAGCTCCGTCCACTGTTCTGCTCAGAACATCAGACTCCTAGATGTGTGCTCAGTCCCGCTTCCTTGCTTCCTCCGAAAGCCTCACTCCTGGGAAACGGGATCTCTCCTGCAACTAGGGTCCACGACGAGGGTCCTACGGGCTGGGGGCGGGGCCACTTGGCCCCGGGAACAATGAGGCCATTGCCTCTTCTGCGTGCTGCGGGCCGGATATCCGTTCTGAAGGCGGCTCTGGGCTTTCTCTGTCCAGAAGGAGGAAACCTTCGGTCACCAGGGCTGCAAGGAAATAGCAGGGAGGTGCCCCGAGGAACGGAGAACAATTATGCATGGAGAATATAAAGAAATGAGCAAACTTTCCTGGCCTTGGACAGCGATTCCAGTTATCCGGGATTATCTTCTTTCCTGGTGTAAATACCTTCATGCCACCATTCCCTAGTGTCTGGATTTGGGTCAGTGGGCCTCACTTAACTTCTCTGCAAAGTAGGGCCAAGTGGTTTGCCTGTCAGAAGGCAGAGAGCTGAACAGATAACTCCTTAGGCAACTTGCAGCCCTCCAGGAAATATTATTCTGAGTTTTGCCACCTATCCACATGCCCAGAGCACTAATTTGTGATGAAAGGGACTCTATTAGGAAGAAAGTCTCTTAAAAGCTGCAGCATATTAAAATCCATCAACTTTAGGGCTCGGGCTGTAGCTCAATGGTAGAGCACTTGCCTAGCGTGTGTGAGGCGCTGGGTTGGATCCTTAGCACCACATAAAAATAAATCAAATAAAGGCATCTGTTCATCTACAACTACAAAATATATATATATATATATTTAAAACCACCAACTCTAATGGGCACTTCCAGCAGTGTAAGTCCTGATGAAACCCAAAGTTTTAAAAAATAATAATTTTTAATACCTTTAGATGGCTTATACTCCCTAGTAACTTACTCAAAATTTCTTGTGCCTACAGATCACCTAGTGATCTGGTTAACATGCAGACCTAGTTCTGGAGAAAGTATGAAATTCTACCATTTCAAACAAACTTCAGTGTTCTTTCAATCCTGCAGGTCAATAGACCACACTCTGAGTAACAAAGTTCTGCAGTTAACCATAGTCCCCATCATTCTCTTGTCAGTCCAAGTCTCTGGTGATTTTACCTATCTGTCCTCTATAGATATTGGTATTTGTAACCCTCAAAATCCCTGCTTCCTCTTTCATTTTGCAGATGGGAAACACACCCAGAGAAAATACATAAGTCCTGCTGGTCACTCAGCAAGAAGATGTTACCCTGTCCACTTCTCCCGCCAATACAGGGAGATGCATCCTGCCTACAAAATAAATGATTCCATGTCAAGTATCTGTGCCTCTAGGAGGAAATTAAGATATTCCAATGGCTTGCATTTGCACAACCTCAACTAGGGGCCAGGCCCTATGCTATTTTATATGCGTTATTTCAATGAACATACACCCTGAAGAGATAGGGAATAGTTCTACTTTATAGATAGAGAGTTTTTTTTTTTTTTAATTTGTGAAGGGTCACAAAACTAACAAGTAAAGGACCCAAGATTTGAACTCAATAGGCTGAACCCAGAGTCTGCATATTTGGTTTCTAGCTATCTCAGGCTGAGAGGCACAACATGGTTGTGACTGTTCTGTTTGGTTGCCTGAGTGAACTTATAACAAGGCAAAGCAGGCAGTTGACTAAATGATTCAGACTTAAAGGGGTTTTCCCTTCTGGTCCATAATTCCACCATTATTGCTTCATTCCTTTCAATTAACTTCATTAATGATTCACAGTCTTCTTGAAAAATGGGTTTGCTTCAAGGAAGAGTAGTCTATTAAATATCAAAAGCTAAGAAGGGAATCGGTGAGAGCCAGCTGAAAGCAAGAATAGAAATCCAAATGGAAGGCACTAGTGAGGATGAGACAGACGGGAATACCCGGAAGGTAAACACTGACATCCAACTGTGCTCAGTTTAGCAGAGCTAAAAATGCAAAAGAAACAGGGAATTTTATTCTACAGGCACCTGTATCTCCCATGGCAAAGCTGCTGGGTCAGAGTCCTTGTAAATAGGAATCTGCTTTCTGGAAAGCCATGACCTGTCTTTATCCTAAAATGTGGATTCCCTTTGCCTGAATAATCACTTTGACATTCAGAATCATGCTAGAACTGGTGTTTCCCTCCTTTGCTGGCCTCTCAGCTTGTGGATTCTCAGGAAGCTCTGGATATAGAGCTTTCAAGTTCTCATTTATTCTCTTCTGCAAACTGTATGTTCCAGGCACCGCAGGCAGTACAAGACAGTTCCCCAGGGAGCCCACCACTAAGAAGGAAAGCAAGTAGGGAAGCAGTCACCTCCACAATGGAATAAGGCCATTGTGTAGACACACACAAAGGACCCTGCAAACAGAGGAAGAGGTGATTTCAGGCACACAGAAGATTCCGAGAGAGGAGAATTGGGAGCTGAAAGGGGGTTGGAGGCATGAGGCCTCCGGTTCACGTCCCCTCCACTCCTAAAGTCCCTCCATCAACCGCCCCCAATGATTACCAAATATGACATTTAAGATGTCACTAGGGTATAGACCACCTATATTCTATTGACTTGTTTAAAGTCAACTCATTTCTAAAAACTTTTTTCATCTGTCTTCTTAGTCCATTTTCTGTCACCATAATACAATTTCACAGACTAGATAAGTTTTAATAAAAGAGGTTTATTTTGGAAAATAGTTCTGAAGGTCCAAAGTCAAGGGGTCACATCTAGTAATGGCCTTCTTGCTGACGGAGTCCAAAAGTGGTATAGAATGTCACTTGGTGAGAGACATGGAACACAGTGTGCATATGTCCTCAGGTCTGTCTCTTATTATATAGTCCCCAGGATTCAATCATAGGTCGTGCACCCTGAGGACCTAACCCTAACCCCCTCCTTTCTCTCTCTCTCTCTCTCTCTCTCTCTCTCTCTCTCTCTCTCTCTGATGTGTGTGTGTATGTGTGTGTGTGTGTGGTGCTGGGGATTGATCCCAGGGCCTTGTGCATGCAAGGCAAGTACTGTACCAACTGAGCTATATCCCCAGCCCTAACCCCCTCTCATCTCTAAAAATCATAGTTTAAGTTCCCACTCTGAATACCTCAGAATTGGGATTAAATTTCAACAGGAGTATTGGAGGGAACAAACTGTAGTCTCATCCTAATCAGTAATGTTGGTAAAATGTGTAGTCATGAAAGTATCACATTGGAAAAAAAAAAAAAAAAACTGACCTCTGAGCAACACACAGAGTCCTGCAGCTTTTGGTTTCAAGATAAACCAGCCGAAATCTGCTGGGAGGTTCACCCTGGTCTGGCCAGATGATTGTTACCTCTAGATTTCTGAACACTCAACTCTACAACAAGACTTTACAAGGTCAGTTAGCTTGCAACGTTCAAATAGATTCCTGCTGAAATGCTCCTGTCTGCTGATGGTCCCAGCCACGCGTGATCTCCTATTAGTTTAACATGATCTTCTTTAGGGACAAAGAAAGATCATCTCCCCTGAAGCTGTGTTCAGTTAGGAGTGTCCTCCCAGTATACTTACTGGGGCCCTGTTGTGGTACGAATTTAACGAGATATCTTTTTCAGTCCTAACACAAACCTTATATCCCCTACTCACCCTGTTAATGTACCCAGAATCTCTGTTCCTTACTCAGTCATACCAGCAGGCACTAATTGGCACCTCCACTGTAAATAAGGAAACTGAGCCTCAGAGAATTTGGTCTGTTGCCCAAGGTCAACCAATAAGTGGCAAGCCTAGCTATTTAGAAAAGTATTTACCTTCTCTACCCAGAGACCCACAATGTTTCTTTTTCACCTATTGATTCTCTTCTCCATAGAATCCAGTACATGCAAACACACAGTATTTGGCAATGTCTGCTGACTTGGACCACAGATGGCATGCCTCAGCCCCACCTGGGCCTGGCAGTGCTTGTTGTGCCATATTCCCATATTCCTGCCAGACCAGAGTTTAAAGGGAAAAGTGGGAGAGGCCTCCTGAATCAGGGCCACCTGTTATAGATATCCAAATGCATTCTCTAAGTCCCTACAACTTCCAGCTCTCTAATTGGACCTTCGTCCTCAAATCTGGCTGTTTCCTACTATCAACTCAGTAATTCAAGAGGTCATCCAATTTTAAAAGAAATTAAGCGACCAGTTTCAATTCGATTTTCAAATGGAATGAAACATCAAAGATACTTACCCCCGAAATGGCTTGCAGAAGGTTGAGCTCCCCCCACCCCTGGTTCAGTACTGAACACTCAAAAGATTTAAATGGAAGAAAAATGTTCAAATTGGCAAAGAAATCTCACAAAGCATAAAAATTAATTCTGCACTTTCAGAGTGGAAGAGGGAAAATGCGTCTTCTCCTGTAATTTATTTAAAAGCAATGGTTTTCTGTTAACATAGATTGGGGAAGAAGCAGCGTCTGTCAGGTGATGAATGAATGACATGACCAAAGCCAGGTTAACTTCTTTTGCATGGTAGCCTAGAATGGAAATGTGGATGTAATCTTAATAAAAGTAGAATTGCTTCTTAGAAGCAGGAGGCAAGTTGAATTAACTGGAACCTTAGGAGCCCTTATAACCAGATGACTCATAGATGGGGTGGGCTCAAAAGGCAACCTTAATGCTTCAATAACAAACTTTCTGTTACTCCAGAGACTCTGGGCCTAATTATCTTGGAAACCTTAGTACACACACCAAAGGGAAGATGTACTTTTTCCCACATTGAAGTCTCAGCTACCTAGATATATGCCAAATGAAATCTTGCAAATCCTTGGTGTTTAAAGAACATAATGCTTTATGCAGACTGAGCTTTTTGACAATCATGTAAAACAGACTATAGTACCTAATTTGCCCAGTTGAATTGGAGCAGTTGATTCTCTCCTGTAGTGACATCTCAAAGCAGAGGCGTGGGCTAATGTGCCACTGAAATGAGGCGCACTGCGGGAACTGGCAGCTGTCGTTCCCCATAGCTGTCAGTCTCCTCCATAGAGAGAGGATGCCATCTAGCATGGACTCTGGGAGGTGCAGCCAGCTGCCACATTGCAAAAGTAAACCTCAGATTCCACATGTTGTGGTCTCACATGGGTCCATGAGTATGCTAGTCCAGCTCCCACCTTCTAGAAAGAGAATGTCTGCCCATGAAGCAGTCACTGGGTCATAAAACGTGTCTCTGTGTTATAGCTCGAGCTCCTCAACCTATATGTGCTCCAGGATCTGACTGGGATACCAATGAGCCCCTCCAGGCTGCATCTGACTTCTTGTGTTTGGTGGGAGGTGGGGGAGACTGGCCTGGAGACACTTTGGTTATGGTTTGTCTCTGTCCATTTGGGCTTCTATATCAAAATACATACCTTAGACTGGATCATTTATTAACCAAAGAAATGTATTGCTCATAATTCTGGAGGCTTGGAAGTAGTCCAAGATAAAAAAAAAAATCCACAGCTTTAGTGTTGTCTAGTGAGGGTTCTCTGCTTCATAGATGGTGCCTTTTTACTGTGTCCTCATGTGACACATGGATAAACAAGCTCCCTTGGGTTTATTTTATAATCCATTCATGAGGACTCTACCCACCTGACCTAGACACCTCCCAGAGGCCCACCTCTTAATACCAACACATGAATCGTGGAAGGACACAGACATTGAGACATTGGGAATGTGGCTCAGTGGTAGAGTGCTTTCCTAGAATGTACCATGGGTTGCATCCCCAGCAACTCACACACACACACACACACACACACACACACACGGAAAAGAGAAAAGCGTTCATGAGAATTTCTTTATTTATGTCATTAATCTTTCAAATGACATTCAGTAAAATGAAATTTACTCTTTTTGATTCTTAGTTCTAAATTTAGACATATGCACATACTTGTGTAATCAACAGTTCAACCAAGTTAAAGAATAATTCCATCACCAGTGATTTTTTTAAAAAACATTCTATTTCTCTTGCCTAAAAAAAAATCAGAGTTTCTGAAAAGTTAAACATAGAGTTATCATATGACTCAGCAATTCCATTTCTAGGTATCTATCCAAGAGGACTGAAAACATATATTCACACAAAAATGTGTATGTAAATGTTCATAGCCCCATTATTCACGATAGTTAAGTGGTGAAACAACCCAAATGTGCATTAATGGATGAGTGAATAAACAAAATGTGGTTAATTTTATGTCATGTAAATTTTACCTTAATTAAACAAAATTAATCCAATTAAGAGTTGAGGAACCAGGAGTAGTGGCACACATCTGTAATCCCAGTGGCTCCGGAGGCTGAGGCAAGAGAATCATGAGTTCAAATCTAGCCTCAGCAATGGGGAGGTACTAAGCAACT